CTTGTTACCAGTTCTCTCTTCATTTTTTCTCATTTTCTCTCACTATCTAATTCACAATGTAGTATTGCTAACTCCTATTTTATCTCTCTCTTCTATTTCTATTCTTGTCCCTCTATCCCCACCCCTTATTCCACTCTTACACGCTCTAGTTGTCTCTTCCAATCTCTCACTCTCTCCTTTCTTACTTTCTTCTCGTCCCTCCCTCTCCCTCTTAACTTTCTCTCACTATAACTCTCCCTTCTCTCTCTTTCAGCATCACTATCACTCGTCATATCTTTTCTTCTCTCTTTTCTCTTCTCTCCGCTATCTTAATCCCTCTATTTCTCCCATTCTCTCTAACTCTTGCTCCTTTTCTCTCACACACACACTCTCTCTCCCGCTCAATCACTTTATCTCTATCGATCTCCTCTCACTATCATTTGCGATAGAGGGAGAGAAGGAGTCCAACACACACACTCTCTCTCAGTCCTCTCTCCTCCTCTACACACTCAACTTATCTCTCTCCCCCATCACTCCCTCTCTTGCTCCTTGTTCTCTTCTTCTCTCCTATTAATTCATCTCTCTTTTTCACTCTCTCACCTCTCCCTCACTCTCTTCTGCCTATTTCTCTTGATAATGGGAGAGGAAGAGAGAAACCATGAGAGAGAAAGATAAACAAGGAATAGATGAGTAAGTCACAGAAAAAAATAAGGGATAGAGAAGACAGGGAGAGGAGTAGTTTTGAATGAGAGAGGTATTGAGATTGAGAGACGGAGGCTCTCATTCTCTCCCTCTCATTTTTTGTTCCCTCTCTCTCTCCCTCTTTATCTCTCTCATCTGTCTCACACTTTAACTTTCTAATTCTCTCAATTTTACTCTTACTCTCTCTCACTCTAACACTCTGTCCTTCTCTTACTTTCTCTCTCTCACACACATTCTTCTCTCACTCTCTTTATTTTTTCTCTCTCTTTATATCTCTTCCTCCCTTATCTCTCTTATTCTCTCCCCTACCCACCCTATTTATCAGTATATCTCCCTCGTGATCTCTCTTATTCTCTCTTTATCAATCTTCCTTTCTCTTGCTTTCACTCTCTCTCCCCTCCCTCCCACTTTCTTTCAATATATATCTCTTACTTTACTTCTCTCCCTCATGCTCTCCCTCTCCCTCTCTCCATCCTTCTATTTCTCTCTCCCTCTTTCCATCCCTCTCCCTCTCCCTCTCTTCTCCCTCCCCCTCTCTTTCTTCCCTTCCCTCTCTCTTCTTCCCTCCATATCCATTTCCATCATTTCTCTCTCCTTTTCAGCCAGTCTCTTTATCTATTTCACTCAATTCAGCTACATTTTACACTCTATCACTTACTCTCTCACCTTTCTCATTCTCACCCTATCTCTCTTCTCTTAATTACTCTCTTCTCTTAATTACTCTTAATTACTCTCTCTTCTTCTCATTCTAACTATCATTTCTTTTTTCACATTCTCTATTCCTTTTGTCTCTCTCACTCCCTCTATCTCTCTCCCTTTCTTCTTCTCTCTTTATCCCTCCATCTCTTCCTCTCCTCACCCTCTCTCTAGCTTCCTTTCACGCTCTCTCACTCTCTCTCACCCACCTTCTTAATGTCTCTCTATCTCCTCTTACTTTTTCTATCTAGTTTCTTCTATCTTCTATCTAGCTTTCTACCACTTAATGTAGGTCAAACTCTCTCTTTCACAACAACCTTCCTTTTTTCTCACTTGCTCTCTCTAACTCTCTCTCTCTGTCCTTCTATCTCCATCGCTCTCTCTCACTCTCTCCCTCACTCTCTCTATCTCTCTCTCTTCTTTCAATAAGCGTCTCTCACATTCTCTCTTTTCTTTTTTCCCTCTTCTCTATCTCACACTCTCTCTCTTTTTGTATCTCTCTCACTCCTCTCTCTCACTAACCCTTTTATCTTCCTCTCTCTCTCTCTCTTTCAATCACTCTCTTACTCTATCTCTCCCTCTCTACTTCACTCATATCCCTCCATCTCTTTCACTTTTTTTCTATCTTACTCTATTCAACACTCAATTTCTTGATACATATTTTTAATCGCTCTCCTACTCTTTCTCTCTTAATCCCTCACTCACTCTATCTCACTCACTCACTTCTGTCAGTCGCTTTAACCTCTTTCTCCAACCATCATCATCTCCCTCACTCCTTTATCTTCTTCTCCCCCATTCCTTTATTTTTCTCTCTCTATCTCTCTCAACCTACTTCTCTCTCTCTTTCTATTTCACTCTCTTTTTTTTTCTATCGCATTATTTTTTCCCACTATCTCTCTTGCTCTCTCAATCTACTATGTTATATCTATCCTTCTCTTTCTTACTCTATCTCCCTCTCTCACACATTTTTCTCTCCCCACCATACCCTCTGTAACTCTCTCTCTCTCACTCTCACCTCTCTCATTGTCTGTCCTTACCTTTCTTTCTTTGTATATATCTCATCTTCTTCTCCCATTATTTCACCTCCCTCTCCCTAAATTTCTCACATTGTTTATCTCTCCATCCTGCACTCCTTCTTAGTCTTCCTTCAACTCTCTCACCCTTTCTATCTATCTCTCACTGTCTCTCTCTCTCTCACACACTCTCACCTATCCCTTTCAGACTTCTCTTCTTTTTTTTTCTCACTTCTTTCCCTCTCTTTATCATTAAGTTAAATGGAGCAGGAGAAAGAGATGGACCAAGAAAGGGAGGGAGAGAGGAAATGAGTGAAGGTGGGGGAAGTAGCAAGAGCATGAGAGACAGAAGAGAAAAGAAGGCAGACAGGTTTGCTCTCACTCTCACTATGAGAGAGGAGAGAGATAGTAAGAGTGATGGGAGAGAGGGAAAGATAAAATAGAATAGAAATATAGAGCGATTGAGCAATAAGAGAGATAGAGTGAGAGAGGGATTGAAAGAGCAAAGAGATGTGAGAGATAAGGGAAGTTAGAGAAGTGAAAGAGAGAGGGGGAGTGAGAGAGAGAGAGAGCTAAAGAGAAGGGGGTGTTAGAAAGAACCAATGAGAGCAAAAGGGAATATAAGAAAGAGAGAGAAGAGAGTGGTAACAAGATAAAAAGACGAGAGAAACATAGAGAGAGGGAGTAAAGAGAAGGAAAGATAAAGTGAGAGAAGAAAGCGAGCGAGAGAGTTAACATCCCATTCTAGTTTGAGATAGGAGAGAGAGAATAGTTAGAGAGATAAGGATGGCAAGTGAGTGTCTAGTTGATAGCTTGAGTGAGGAAGAGAAACTAGTAGAGAATGTGAGATGAGGTAAAGAGAAAGAGAGAGAAAGAGGGAATGAGAGAGAGCAAAATGGAAGAGATAAACAAAGATTGTGTGTGAGATAAAGTGAGAAAGCCAAATCCAATGAGAGAGATTACAAGAAAAGACTAAGATATTACAAGGGAGAGAGAGCTTGAGAGAAAGGGAGACAATGATGAGAGTGAGAGAGTGTGTGGTGAGATAGAAAGTAAGAGAAAGTGAGGGGTGATAAAGAGAGTGTGTGGAGAGCGGGAGGTAGATAAAGAGAAGCTGTGAGCAGGAGGGTGAGATAGGAGACAACATGAGTGAGAGAGGGGGAGATATAGTGAATGAGAGAAAAATTTGGAGGGTGAAGAGTGAGATAGGAGAGATAGAAAGAGGTAGAATGAGAAAGAAGAGAATATGAGAGAGAGAGAGAGAGTGAATGAGAGATTGGAGGAGAGTGAAAGATAGGTGACATAAGTGGGGGAGCATTGGGGATGTTAAAGTCGGGATGAGAGAGTGAGCGATGAACAGATAAGAGATAGTGATGGAGAAGAGTGAGAGAGAGAGAGATAAAACAAAAGAGATATAGCTAAAGAGAGAGATAGAAACATGCCTCCTTCGTTTGTACATGAGTGATTATAAGAGTTTGAGAGAAGAGAGAGAGAGTGACAAATAATGGGAGTGAATGGAAGGAGAATTGAAGGAGAGGGAGAGCTTTTTCTCTCTCACACATGCACAAACTTCTCTCCCTCTTTCAACTCTCTTTAACCTCTCCCATCTCTTTCTAAGTCTCTCAATTGCTCTCTCTCTCTCTCTCTCTCTCTCTTCTCTTACCTTAACTCCCTCCCACACTAACTTTCTCACTCTTATTATCTACATCACACTCACTCCCACATACACACATTCTCTCTTACTTTCTCTCTCACCCTCCCTCTTTGCCTCCCTCATTCTCCTTCCCACCCTTTCTCTCTCCACTTTATCTATCTATCTCCAACTCTATTTCCCTTTTAGCCTCTCTCTACTTTTAATTTTGTCCTACTCTAAATCTCTTCCGTACTTTCACTCACTTTCCCAATCTCTCACTCCCATTTATCTTCCTCTTAAGCTCTTATTCACTCTCTCTTTCTCTAGCTCCCTCCAACCTTCCTCCCTCCCTTTTTCTCTTCAAAGAGAGGGAGTAGGGGACAGAGGGAGAGAGAAGAGAGAGAGTTAGTGTGAGAGAGAAATATTGAGAGGTTTCACTCACTATCTCTCTCATGCTCTCTTTCTTGTAATTTCTCATTCTCTTCACTTCTCTCTCTTTTTTCTCTGTCACTATCTCTCAAAAACTATCAACTTCATATCAAAGGTGTGAAAAATAAAGATATCAAGGGTGAGAGTGATGCAAATGATAGCATGGATGGCAATGACACGACTTCAAGAGAGGATTTAATTCAAGTTCCATGTGGGTAAATTACTAGATGTCGTGCAAAGAGGTTGAAAGAAGCTCTTAATGGATTAGTCCCGGAGGCTTGGTTGGACTTAAGCTAATTCTTAGGGATCTAAGGAGAAAGAGTCACAAAGATTTGTTAACTCATTCCAAGCCCAAGGATAAAGGAGTTAAATTATTATTACTGGAGATTTTGTATTTTTTTATTTTGGTTTATTAATGGCTTGTATGCCAACTTGATGTAGTTTTCATTTATTTTAGAATATATTTTATTTTCTCTTTTGTTTTCTTGTAAGCTTTTGCCTATATATAGGCCTTAATCAAATGAGAAAGCGGATTTCCACCCCTTTTGTGGTATCTTCCATTGTACCAAGGTTCTTTCCTCACGGCAAGCATAGAGTGACAGTCTTATGCCAACTTTCTTGTTTGCGTTGAGCATTGGGTCAACGATTACCTCTATCCATCCATTTTTACCACCAGGTTCTACCTATAATTTGGTTTGATCCAGTCTTGGAACAGTTTTATTGTTTGGTTTTTTTTTTCATCTCATAAAAATATTCATCAATTCTTTTCAGTTTTGGCATAGGGCATCTACCTTTCTAATAAGAACATCAAACCCCACCGTCCTGTTTTGCATATATGCACATCAGTTTGGTATCTGAGAGCCTCATGGTTCTTGAGCACATAATTTTCTTGTTGGGCTTTTTTGTTCTTGTTGGATGTTTCTTCTTTTAGGTAATTATTGAGATTAGTTATTTTCTTGTTTCTTATGTCCAATTTTTCATCTATGTCCAATTTTTATTATGTAATCCAATTTGTAATTTCATTTCATAATTAATTGTTCAATTAGTTGCTCTCATAATCATTCATATTTGTGTACTTGTTAATATTCACATTCGTTATTGCGCATGCGATTGTCCTCGTTATTATTCATATCAATTGTTCTATTTTTTATCCAAATTGTCCAAATCATTGTTCATTTTAGTATCCAAATCATCCTGTTCTTGATTTTTTTATGATAAAGGTTATTCTTGATGTGAACTTTTTATTTTCATTTCTTGTTATTTTTGTTTCTTGAAATACAAATTATCTTGATGTGATTTTGTTATTTTTATTTCTTTGTTGATATTCTTGTTGTTCTTGAAATTATTTCATGTTCTTAATATGATTGTCCAAATCTGTTTAGTAGTGCTTTTATTTTGATTCAAGATATCAAAATTCGCAATTCATTATCATCATCCAAATGTTTTACTTAGCATTTCAATTTTTTATTTATTTGTGGTGATTTAGAATATGATTTGAGTTGTTAATTTCGAATTCTTGCTTACCCATCGTCATTGTAAGTCCTCAATTATTTCCCAAACAAATTTTGATGAAGAGGAAAGGCAAACAACCGTTCCTAATCTCCAATTTCAAGCATTGGTGGGAAGATGAGAAGAATGATGAGCGTTGAGTTAGAGCAAATTCATGAAAGTTTAGAATGGGTAGACGGAGGAATCCAACAAAGATAGCCACGAAATGTTTCCAATATGCAAAGGGAGAGTTCCACCGAGAGGAGTGAAAGAGGAGGATGAAGAATATTATAAGGCTGGATTTGATGAAGAGAATGATAGGGATTTATTTGTTGAGAGGAAGCATTATGGTGGACAAGCTAGGACATTAGGATTAGAGATGAGAATAGGTTGGCAGGTACTGAGATGTGTATTCCTTTTTTTCAAGGAAAAAACAATCCTGATGCCTATCTTGAATGGGAGAAGAAGATGGAATTAGTGTTTGATTGCCCCAACTATTCTGAAATGAAGAAGGTGAAATTGACCGCCGTTGAATTTACTGATTATTCTATTTTTTGGTGGGATCAATTAATGTTGAGTAGGAGGAGAAATTGAGAACATCCCATAAAAACATGGGAAGAAATGAAATTTGTTAGGAAGCGATTTGTGCCAAGCCATTACTATCGAGAGTTGTATCAGAAGTTATAAAGGCTTAGGTAAGGTAATCGAAGTGTGAAAGATTACTACCACGAGATGGAGATTGCTATGATTAAGGATAATGTAGAAGAGGACTGAGAAGCTACTATGGTTAGATTCCTAAATGGTGTAAACCCAGAAATCCAAGATAGAGTAGAAATGCAACATTTTGTGGAGTTGGAGGACATGTTACATGTGGCCATCAAGGTAGAGCAACAACTCAAGAGGAGGGGTGTCCCATGTTTATCAACTAGTGTGGGTTTTTCATAGAAGCCAAACTTTTAGAAAGAAGAGGACAAACCAATTACAATGTCCAGACACGAGCCAAGACAAGAGACAACTAGCCAAGGAACTCAAGGGAAAGAAATCAAGACATTAAATATTTTAAATGTCAAGGCCAAGGTCATATAGCCAACCAAAGTCCTAACAAGAGAATCATGGTGATAAGGGACAATGGAGGGATTGAGACTGGTGAAGAATTAAAATTTGACTCTATACCACCAATAGAGGAAATTGAATGTGAATAATATGTGGTCACAAGAGAATTCTTAGTCTCAAGAAGGGCTTTAAGTGTGCAGACCAAGGTTGATGAGGGAATTAAAAGAGAAAACATTTTTCACACTAGGTTCCATGTACAAAACAAGGTATATAGTATGATCATTGATGGGGGAAGCTGTGCTAATGCTACTAGCACTATTTTTGTTGAAAAACTAGGACTGTCAAACTTCAAGCATTCTTGGCCTTAAAAGTTGCAATGGTTTAATGATAGTGGTGAGGTAAAGGTGAACAATTAGGTTTTTGGTCTCATTCTACATTGGAAAATATGAAGATGAAATTTTGTGTGATGTAGTACCAATGCAACCAGGTTATTTGTTACTAGGCCGACTAAGGCATTTGACTGACGACTTAAATAGATGGTTTCACTAATAAATACTTGTTTGAATTCAATGATAGAATTATTACTTTTGTGCCAATGAAACCAAAGGAGGTCTACAAGGATCAAGTGAGATTGGGAAATGATTATTGTCAAATAAAAAGGAGTGATCAACATGAAGAGGCTGACCTAAATGAGAAAAAAGAAGAAATGGAACAAGAAGCCATTAAGAGAAAAGACGAAAGAAAACAAAAGAATTTTTGTGCAAAGGCAAGTGAGATGAAGAGAGCATTATTTCTAAAACAACCAATGATTGTACTTCTTTACAAAGAGGCATTCTTAAACATTAATGAATGTGAGAATACTTTGTCTAGTTCTATTGTTTCTCTCTTGCAAGAGTTTCAAGATGTCTTTCCTGAGAATATTCCACATGGTTTACCACCCATATGATGGATTGAGCATCAAATTAATTTTATACAAGGAGCCACCATTCCAAACTATCCAGCCTATAGTAAGAATCCCGATGAGACAAAAGAGTTACAAAGGCAGGTTGGGGAACTAATAAAGAAAGGGTATGTGAGAGAGAGCATAAATCCATGTGTTGTTCCAGTAATTCTAGTTCCTAAGAAGGATGGGTCTTGGGAATGTGTGTGGATTGTCGAGCCATCAAAAATATTACTGGTATACAAGTTGATGAAGAAAAGGTGTGTATACATGACAGGCCTAGTCCCACTAGTATAATCAATGTTTATAGTTTTCATGGACTTGCTAGTTTCAACCAATAATTTGTGAAAGACTTTAGTATCATAGCTGCACCACTCAATGAATTAATCAATAAGAACATTAGGTTCAAGTCGGGAGAAGTACAGGAAAAGACATTTCAATTGATCAAGGAAAAACTTACCCACGCTCCTGTTTTGACTTTACATGATTTTTCTAAAACATTTGAAATTGAATGTGATGCTTCAGGTGTTGGCATAGGTGTTGTTCTTATGCAGGAGTGAAGCGCAATTGCTTATTTCATTAAGAAGTTGAGTGAGGCTACCTTAAACTTTCCAACTTATGACAAGGAGATGTATATATTAATTAGAGCCTTGGAGACTTGGCAGCACTACGTTTGTCCTAAGAAGTTCGTGATTCACACTGATCATGAGTCCTAAGAAAGGTCAACACAAGCTAAGCAAAAGGCACGCTTGTTGCGTGGAGTTCATTGAGGCATTTCCTTATGTCATTCGATACAAGCAAGGTAAGGAAAATGTGGTTTTTGACGCTCTTTCTCGAAGGTATGCATTACTATCTACTCTTGATGCAGAGTCACTTGGTTTTGAACATATTAAAGATTTTTACCTTGATGATGTTGATCTTCTTAATGAATATCAAGCTTGTGATAAAACTGCTAGCGGTAAATTCTTTAAACATGATGGGTTTCTATTTCGAGAAAATAAGTTGTGTGACTAAAAGTTCTTTGCAAGAATTGCTTGGGATTAATGGGACGTTTTAGAGTTTCAAAGACTTTAGCTTTTTTTGCAGGAACACTTCTATTTGCCACACAAAAGGTGGGATGTCGAGAGAATTTATGGTAGGTGTGTCACATGTTGACAAGCTAAATCTCGAGTGCAATCCCATGGTTTGTATACTTCTTTATCAATTCTTAATGCACCTTGGATTGAAATTTCTATGGACTTTCTGTTAGGTTTGCCTAGAAATAAACATGGTAGATGTTCAATTTTTTGGGGTGGTGGATTGATTTTCCAAAATGGCACATTTTATTCCATGTCACAAAACTGATGATGCTTCCAAAATTACAGATTTGTTCTTTAAGGAGATTATAAGATTACATGGTATGCCTAGAACAATTATTTTGGATAGAGATACTAAGTTCTTAAGTTACTTTTGGAAGACCTTGTGGTGTAGGTTTGGAACCAAATTGTTGTTTTCTACTACTTGTCACCCACAAACCGATGGTCAAACTGAAGTAGTAAATCAAACTGCAAACCGATGGTCAAACTGAAGTAGTAAATAGGACTTTGTCTAATTTGTTAAGGGCAATCATAAAAAAAAGTATCAAAACATGGGAAGATTGCTTACCACATGTTGAGTTTGCTTTAAATTTTCACCTTTTAAAATTGTTTATGGTTTTGATCCCTTAAATCCAGTTGATTTAATTCCATTACCTGTTTCTGAGTTTGTGAAGCAGATAATGAGAAGGCACGACTAAATATTGAACAGAGAACAAAACAATATGAAAAACATGCTAAAAAGGGGCGACACAAAATGATCTTTGAGCCTGGAGATTGGGTCTGGTTACACATGAAAAAGAAAAATTTCCAGGACATAGACATTCCAAACTACTTCCAGGAGGAGATGGTCCTTTCGAAGTACTTGAGCGTATCAACGACAATGCCTATAAGCTGGATCAACCAGGTAAGTATAATGTGTGCACCATTTTCAAAGTTACTAATTTATGTCCTATTGATTTAGGCACTTATTTGAGGACAAATCCTTTTCAAGAGGAGGGGAATGATGAAATGATGGCATTGATGGCAATGACATGACTTCAAGAGAAGATTTAATTCAACTTTCATGTGGGCAAACTTCCAGATGTCGTGCAAAGAGGGTGAAAGAAGCTCTTAATAGATTAGTCCAGGAGGCTTGTACTCAAGACAATTCATGGGGATCTAAGAAGAAAGAGGCACAAAGATTTGTCAACTTATTTCAAGTCCGAGGATAAAGAAGTTATATTATTATTGCTAGGTATTTTGTATTTTTAATTGCGATTTAATAATGGTTTACATGCCAACTTGATGTAGTTTTTCATTTATTTTAGAAGATATTTTATCTTCTCTTTTGTTTGCTTGTAAGTTTTAGCTTATATATAGGTCTTACTTCCAATTAGAAAGGGACTATTGATTCTTGCCAAAAAAATTTGCATTTGGGTTGTCTCCCACAATTTCCTTAGGATTCCCACGGAACTCAAGTCCATTGCCTAAGGTGTTCTTTCTCGACTTATCGAGTGGATTTCCACCCCATTTTTGGCATCTTCCATTGTATAAAAGTTCTTTCCTCATGTCAAGCATAGGGTGATGGTCTTATACCAACGTTCTTGTTTGCGTTGAGCATTGGGTCAAGGTTTACCTCCATACATACATTTTTACTGTCAGGTTCTACCTAAAATTTGGTTTGTTCCAGCCTTAGAATAATTTTACTGTTTGGTTTTTATTTTTTTTGCATCCCATAAAAATTTCCATCAATTATTTTTTGTTTTAGCATAGTACATCCGATTTTTAATAAGAACATCAATCCCCATGGTTTTGCCTTGCATATAAGCACATCAGAGAGAGCAGAGGAGTGACAGAGAGATGGAGGGGGAGAGCGATGGGATTTGGTGAGAGAAATAGGTTAATAGTTTAGTGACAGAGAAAGATAAGAGATAAGATACAAAAAAATGACACAGTGAGAGAATAGTGGAAGAGAGAGTGAGGAAGCAAGATAGAGATATCATTGACTCTCACTTTCACACTCTTTTTTTGTCCCTCTGTTTCCTATAATGGCACCTCTCATTCTCTTTCTCCCACTTTACCCTCTTTCCTTCTCTCTCCCATATTTTACACACTTTCTCTCTATGCTCTCTCTCTTTTGTCTCATCTCTTTCTCTTTCTCTCTTTTATCCTTCTCACTATTCGCTCCTCCCTCTTTCTTACACCTCTCTCCCACTCCCTCTTAGAGGGAGAGAGGGTGTGGAAGGGAGAAAAGGGAGGTTGGGAGCCATGGGGAAATAGAGAAGAGTAAGAAAAGAAGGAGCAAGAGGGAGGGAAGGAGAGGGAGAGGGATAGATTGATAGACAAAGAGCAAGAGAGAAGAGTAAGAAAATCTGAACCTAATTCCCTTACTCACACTCTCTCTCTTTCTCTCTCATTCCGTCTCTCTCACTGTATCTTTCTATCTCTCTCCCTCTCTATTTTTCTTTCTCTCACTCTCCCTCCCACCCTTTTGCTTTTTGTCTTCCTTCCACCCTCCCTCTTACTTTCTATCACTCTACCTCCCTCTCTCTCAATCTATTTCTATCATAATATCAATCTCTTTTCCTACATCTCACCCACACCCTCTTTCTCCATCTCTCCCCACTCTCTCACTCTTTCTCTCACCACTTTCTCATTATCTCTCTCATCATGTCCCTCTCCTTCTTCCTCATTCATTTTTATACTCTCTCTTTCCTTTTATCTCCCCACATATCTCCCAATATCTTTATCGCTATCATTCTTTCTATTGCCCTTCCTCTAATTTTTTTATTTTCCTCCCCTCTTTTGCTCTTGCTCTCTATATCTCTCTATTTTATCTCCTTGTCCCTCCTTTTGTATCTCTCTCTACCTCACTATCTTTCATTCTCTCTTTTTCTCATTTCTCTAACAGTCCAGCTATCTCTATCTCTCTTGCTTTCTCCATCATACTGCCACAATCTATCAATTATTTTCTCTATTAGCGAGGGAGAGCGGTTGAGGGATTGAGAGAGAGCATGGGAGACAGAGTGATTGATAAACAAGGAGAGTGAGGTATTGAATGAAACAAGGCTTACATTCCATCCCTCTCTCTTTATTTCTCTCACTCTCTCTCTCACCTCTTGCTAAAGAGAATGAAACAGAGAAAGAAGGAGAAATATTGAAAGATGGGGGTGAGCGAGGAAGAGTGAGAGAGATGGAGGAGAGAGAATGTGAGAGAGAAGTGCAAGTAATAAAGATGGAGAAGGAGATTGAGAGATAGAGAAGGAGAGAGAAAGCAAGAGAAAACATATGTGATAGAAAGAGTGAGATAAAGAGGGATAAGTTGGGAGGAATGGAGAGAGGGGAGAAAGAGAGTATTAATGGGAGATAGGGTGAGAGAGAAAGACTGTGAGAGGTCGAGAAGATGAGGAGAAAAGGAGGGATGGAACATAAAACAATAGTGAGAGAGAAAAGAGTGATAGATATAGAAAGAGAGAAAGATAAAGAATGCAAAAAAAGAGAATAATAGAGAGAGAGATAGAAAGTGACGAAGAGAGATAGGAATTGAGTGAGGGAGGGATGGAGGGTGGTCTAGAGAGAAGAATGTAACAGAGGTAGGAGAGATCATATATGAGAGTGAAAGGATAGAGAGAGGGATAGAGAATGAGGGATAGAGATAAGGACCACCTTCTTTCCAGCCACTTTAACTCTTCCCTCCTTTAACTGTCCCATCTATTCTCTTTGTCTATTCCAATCACTTACTTTCTTCTATCTCTCTTGCATTACCTTTATGTGTCCTCTATTTAGCTCTCCTTCTCTCTCAACCTCTCTCTCTCACTCCCCCATCCCTCTCTCTCACAGAGTACGAGAAAGAGAGATATCAAAGAGAGGGTGAGTCTGTAAGATAGTGAAAGAGAGAAATAAAGAATGAGAGAGAGAAAAAAGAGAATCTTTCCTCGCTTCTTGCCAGCCACTTTAATTCTTCCCTCCTTTAACTCTCCCATTTATTCTCTCTACTATTCCAATCACTTACTTTCTTCTATCTCTCTTGCATTACCTTTATGTGTCCTCTATTTAGCTCTCCTTCTCTCTCAACCTCTCTCTCTCACTCCCCCATCCCTCTCTCTCACAGAGTACGAGAAAGAGAGATATCAAAGAGAGGGTGAGTCTGTAAGATAGTGAAAGAGAGAAATAAAGAATGAGAGAGAGAAAAAAGAGAAGAAAAGATAGGGTGAGAGGGACGGAGGGAGATAGAGTTATAAGAGATAAGTAGAAAGAGAAAGAGAGAGAGTAAAGAGAGCATGTGAGTGTCTGTCACTCTTCCTTTCTCATTATCTCACTTTAACTCTCTCCCCCTCTTTCTAGAGAGAGCAAAGGGAAAAATAGGGGAAGGGAAAAAAAGAGAGAATGAGTGGTAGAGTGAGAGGGACAGAGAGAGAAAGATTGAGAGAAAATGAAATGAAACAATGAGAGAGTGTGTGTGACAGAGACAGACAAGGAGAAAGATAGTGAAAAAAAGCTAAAGTGACACTATCTGACTCTCTATCAACAATTATTTTTCTCAATCACTCTCAATTTATTTATCCCCCCTCTCTCACTCTTCTCATCTCTCCCTCCCTCCTCTCTCATTGTTTCTCTCTTGATGTCTCTTCCTTTTTCTTCAGAGAGATAGATAGAGAAAGTGTGTGTGAAAGTTAGAGAATTTGAGAGCAAATGAAAGTGAGAGAGTGAGAAAGTGAGAGAGAGGAAGAGAGAAGGAGGGAGATAGAGCGAGAGAGAGAAATTAAGAGATAGCGTAAAGGGGAAATAATGGATAGAGGAGGGGAGGGAGAGAGAGAGGAGGGGAGGGACAGTGATGTGGGGAGGAAGAGAGAATAGCAGTAGAAAGAGGGATAAAGAGTGGGAGATGTATAAAGAGATAAAGAGAGAGGAGAAACAAGAGCGGTGGAACGATAATAGATAAGAGAATGAAAGATCAAGTAGGAGAATAGTGAGAGAGAGATTGATAGAGGGAGAAAGAGAAAGAAAGTGCAAGGGATAAAGATATTGATAGAGATTGAGTGAGGGTGAGAGAAGAGCAAGAGAGAACTAGAGATAAAGAGTTATGTGAGATGAAAAAATAGATAGAAAGATAGATAGTGAGGGAGAGAGAATAGAAAGAGAGAGATAAGTTGACGGTTTGAGAGAGAGTGACAGAGAGAGAAGCAAAATATAAGGGGAAAGAGATTGATATGAATATTCTCTCTATATCCCTCTCTCTTCCTTTATTCTATGCTCTCTCTTTTTCAGTCTCTCTACATCAATCCCACTCTCTCTTTCTCACTCTCTCTACATCTGAACCACTCTATCTTTCTCCCTCTATCCCCTCCCTTCTCCCTGCCTCCCTCTCTTCGTCATCTATATCTCTCTCTCTTCCTCTCACTCTATCTCTCTTATTCTATCTTTTGTCCTCTCCCACACTCTCTCTAATTATTTGGATCACTCTCCCTCTCTCAATTAATCTATACCCATGTCTCTTTCCTAATCTCTCTTTATGTAAAGATCCACTCTTCTTCTTTCTTTCCCACCATCTTTTTTTTTCTCTCTCGATCTATCTGTCTCTGCAAGAGAGAGCAAGAAAAAAAGAGAAAGAGGAGAAACAAAGAGTGCTAGAGAGAGATAGATAGGGAAAAAGAGGTAAGAGAGAGAAAGGGGAGAGTGAAAGAAGGATGAAGAGTGAGAGAGAGATACCAAGACTAAGAGATAATGAAAACAAGAGAGTGGGAGAGAGAGAATAAGAGGAAGAGAGTGGGAATAAGAATTCAAGGGATGGGGAGAGAGAGATTAGTTAATCCCCCATCTTTCACTCATTCAATCACTATTTGTCTATCTCTCTCATTTGAGAGAGGGTTATATAGAGGAGAAATAGAGAGAGTGACTGAGAGAGATAAGAGTGAGGGAGACTTAGAGAAGGAAAGGGATATATATATATATATATAGCTGCAGAGAGATGAGAGAAAGAGAAAGAATGAGATATAGTGAGGTAGAGAGAGTGAAAGATGGAAAGGGTAAGATAATGAAGGGGAGGGAGGGATGTATCAAGAATGAGATAGGGAGAGAGTGAAAGAGAGAATGAGAATATAGAGATACAGCAATACAAAGAGGGAGAGATGGAGCGACAGACAAATAGGCATGGATAGAGGATCTCTCTATCTATGAGGTGGAGAGAGCAAGAGAGAAGTGAGAAGGAGAGGGAGTGATGGGGAGAGAGAAGGAGAGGGAGAGGGAGAGAGAAGATTGGGAGAAAGGAGGA